AGCAAGAGAGTTCTAAATTGGTGTTCTGAATGGTTGAGTCTTCAACAGCTTGGCGCGCCAGCGCATCTGCTGTTGTGTTTAATCGCATGTTGATTTTGAAGATCTTGGATTCTCTGATTCTTGCATGGTTGGAGAATATTTGTGTGAAATGTTTGATTCTCCAGTCCGGGGGATTGGAATGGCCAGCCTCATTGAGAAAATGAACCAACTGTTCACAGTCCGACAAATAGTTGATGTTGTTGAGGTTCAAACTGTCAATGACAGTGGAAGCCAAGGCAAGGCTTGCTGCTTCAGCCATGAGCACTGAAGTACAGCTAGCGAGTTTTTCCTTGATGTAGATCGCCTGTGTCTGTTGTGCCTGCAAGTTAAGAATGAAGGCGCCAAGGCCAGAGAGAACGAAGCAAGTAAAGCGGCAGACAGAACCGAGATGCATGGTGAACAGCTGGAAATGCTTGGCGATCAATCAGTCAGGCAGTCCTGGCTCGTGAGCCATGCGTGCAAGCTACTCCTAGTGCAACGGCGGGCCTCAACGATGATGCATGGCCGACCCGGCCTCGATCCGGGACGTTCTTTCGGATGCTGCTGACATGGGGTCATGGCCTCATGGGCCGGGGGTAGGTCGAGGTCTTTGGACTTTAATTGGGCTGGGCTATTTTACAATATAGACTAGACTAGTCAAAGCCCAATCTAGATTTATACCTGTATGATCAATGCTTCCTTTTCTTCTCCTTTTTGCGGGTTTTGAGATATATATATTTTGACAAATTATGTGCATTTTGAGTGAAAAATAGCGAACACAATGCAAATCGCATCAACAAAGGAATGTCATCCAGATACGAAGTTTGTATGTACACTTTCAAGGATTTGTCATTCTGCTGCAAATCAAACCAATCGTGACACAAATCAAACCAAAAAGGTGATTTTAGCCCGCTGATAGCTAGTCCTTTCTTGTTTTATTTTTCTAAATATCACCGCTGGTTAGTTTTAAGGAACCAATGGTGATCATTATTTTGACCAGCGCTGATAAAGTATACTGTCATTGGCCACACCCCACTTCCACCGTCAAAGGTCAAAACCGGCGGTGATATGGGCCCAGTGGTATTGAACTTTTCTATAGCACTGAGTTATGATTAGAAACAAAATTTATTCTTACTAAAACTTGGATCAACCGGTTGTCCAGCTAATCAGAGAGTTGGATAGTACGGAAATTAATGTTTTGATATATGTATGAGTAAATATTTGTATACTTTACAACGGCAAAGAAAAAATGTACTGAGGTTGTTAAAAATTTGGATCAATCGATCGTCCAACTAATAAAACTGTTGGATACAGTATGAAATTAGTGTTATAATATATGTACGAGTAAATAGTTTTGCACTTGCAATGTGAGAAAAACTCTCAAAGTTATATTTTAATTTGGAACGGGCATAATAGGATATTGTTATATTATTGCCAATATTAACTTATATTATAGATATCATGGTTATCATAAAATAGATTATAGCTTTTAAATTTTATAGAAAGATTAAAACATAAATAGATATGTACTCAATCCATCCTAAATTGTAAGACGTTTGACTTTTTTGACATCAAGTTTGACCACTCGTCTTATTCAAAAATTTGTGTAAAATATCACTTCTTTCGTCGTAGTTTGGTTTATTAATAAAAATTCTTCAAGAATGACTTAAATTTGACTATATTTGCACAAATTTTTTGAATAAGACGAGTGGTCAAACTTGGGGCAAAAAAGTCAAACGTCTTACAATTTAGGATGGAGGGAGTAAGATACATGTCCTTGTTTCACATGAACATTTGATAGTTTTGACATGTTCGGTCAGCTTTTTAGCTGAATTCCGTCAGTTTGGTATTACCAAGTGGTAGTGTTTATTTTCTGAGTTTTAAGCTGAAATGGGCTTGGCCAATGGTAAGGGTGTAAAGCCTAGGAACACTGAGTTTGTGGACAAGGCCATTTAAATGTCGGAATCTTGGGCCGGTGAAGGAGGCTGGTCTGGTTAGGCAAGACTGATATCGAAGCAAATCAGACGAGACACTTGGCGGGCTAGATAAATTATTACAAGGAGGTCTTTGGACTCTGATTGGGCTGGGCTATTTTACAGTATGTACTAGGCTAGTCAAGGCCCAATCTATATTTATACCTGTATGATCAATTCTTCTTTTTCTTCTTCTTTTTGCAGGTATTGAGATATATATATTTTGTCAAATTGTTGCATTTTGAGTGCAAAAATAGCGAACACAATGCAAATTACATAGACAAAGGAATGTCATCCAGATAGGAAGTTTATTTTCCAGCAAAAAAACTATCTAATTTGTTCGCTTTTTTCACTCAAGTGAGTCACGTTACTCTTCAGTTGTAGACGAAGAATGTCCTCCGATGCATACGATTAATTAACCGGGCCATACCATACATCTTTGTTTCCCTGCAAAGTAGGCTGCGCTTACACATCACACCAGATGGCATGGTAGTACTACTTTTTTTTTCTTTTTTTCTTTTTCGAAACATGGAAGCGATCTCCATTACTCAAACCCTGACACCAAATCTTTGGTCACCAGTACGCAAATACAAAGTAGAATACTGTCCTGGATCGGATCAGTACCCGGACTCAACTTTGCCCCAAGGGCAGCTAAGCTGTGTGCGACAAGTTGTAAGCTACCACTCGACAAGCGAAGTTACAAGAAAGACTTTCCTACAGCTCCCAGAGCAGACCACTCGCCGAGCATCGATCAAACTCCGGAGAAATGGCTGCTTGAACCACCATCATGGCATCAGTCTCCAAGACCACCTTCTGGATCCCCAGCTGCTCGGTCGCCCTCTAAAGGGCCTGTTCCGCAGCACTTATTTTGGCTCTGGCTGATTTGTTGTGAGAGAAAAACACTATTTTCTAGCTGGCTGATTCTGGCTGATAATGAACAGAGCCTTGCAGGCAAGCAATAATCTCCGCATGGGACGCCTCTACCACTTTCCCCAGCCTGCCATAGCCTGAATAGATAACCACACTGTCTCCTCCTCTGATGACATATCCCCGTCCACCCGATCGATCCTCCTGTTTAAATGCACCATCACAATTGATCTTAACATAGCCATCCGGAGGCCTCGTTCAGACAGATTTTTGTCGACTTGGGACAGACTCCACCGTCGCTTGTTTCAGTGACAACCATTCTTCAGCATAACAGTTTATCAGTTGTGCTAAACCGCTAACTGTCCCTGTGCCTTCGGCGTTTCGCCTTCTCGAACCCTGCATCTTTCGGACCACCAGAGATACATGAGCATGATCACTTTGCATTGCACCTCCTCTTTCAGCTTCAGCACCTCCATGACTAAATCTTTTGTTGAAGCAGCCCACGCCAAACAAGACCTCACTTGTTCCAGATGCAACTCTAACCACACCCCTTTAACATTCTTGCATTTAAAAAACAGGTGACCACCATCTTCATCAAATCTACCACACATTACACAGCTAGGATCCAGCTTCATGCCTCTGCGTTTCAGATTAACCCGCATAGCCAAACTGTTGTGACCCACTCTCCACATGAAATGCAACATCTTACAAAGTCGTTTCCAGCTGTGATCTCCATCTCTTCTATCACTGGAAGAGGACGATCTCCAGCCATTCTTTCTAGTTACTCATGATCTCAAATCTTAAGGACCTATAGATAATAGATATAACTAATTTCATCAGTCCCTATCAGGGCTTTTTAGTGAAAGCATATGTTGCATAGCTAAAGCATATACTGGAATAAATAAAGAACCTTCAAGTTGAGCAATCACGTGGTTCTTTTGGCTGACTATCCTCTAAATGCAAATTTTATCATGTGTGACAAAAAAAGAAACTAGTGAACCATGAAAACCTCAATTATTTGCAGCAAAACTAGCCTGGCCACAAAATTCTTATGTGTGAGCAGAAAACTTCAATTCTGTGATAAAGCAAATAATTAGGTTCCTGTCACGATCCTTGAGGTAACTACCGGCGTACACACACGGCGGGGAGAGATCGGCGGCGCCGTCTCTGGAGAAGAACGGAGAAGAGGAGAGATAGAAGATTTGGAGGAGATTAGTTCATTTCATTATCGATACCGTCTACAGAGCAGCCAAAGGGTATATATGGCTTCATACATGGGCCAAGCCCAACACAATGAAAGGCACGCAGGCCTAAACCATGACCCACTCCCTAATACTATTACAGGCCCATGTGCTAGGTCATGACATTCTCCCCTGCTTAAGCAACAGCTTGCCCTCAAGCTGTGGATGTTTCAATCACCACATAAGCATTGCCATTGTTTTGTATAACAGAGGTTTGACACTGATTTACTTTGTTGAGACCAAAGCCGTCAAGGGTCTGCAATCATCAGGCGACAGAATTGGAGCTCCAGGGTGGTACAACCAGCCATTATCTTGTAGGTGATGACGTGCAGACTGCTGAAGTGTTGACTTGAAGATGCACTAAAAAGAATGAGAGGAACCATTGGTAGCATAAATGGAATAGCCTTCAAGGATCTTCCACCGTCAGATTATAGAATTGAAGTGCCAGCATGCTAGAATTAGTCAGTGTCTTGTACATGACTTCCATTGTTTTCGAGTTCAGACTTGGATATGCTTGAAACTGAATGACAGGAACCATTGGCAGAACAACTGTAGAAGCAAAACACTCACTATATATAGCTTCCCATGCTCCGAGAAAATAAGATTGGTCTGCTTCAATGCCATGAAAATCAGTCCAAACCAAAGACTATCAAATGTAGTAGCAGCCCCACAGAAATTGTCGCTTGAGGACCGGGCAAAATAATCATGTCATGTTCCAACTCCTCATTATCACACCAGGCAAGCAAAATTGCTGAGGCAAGTGGAAGAAGCACTGGCCTTCCAGAATAGAGTAGTCCATAGTGTTGAGTAGGAATGCACAGGTAGAGTATTTGCATGTTGGAACTTATCTGGATAACATATGGTTCAGTCCAAACAAGAAGTAGCTTCCCTGCACTGGAACATGGCTTGCAGCATGGGAAATGAAGAAGCTCAAGAACTGGCGCAAATATCAACCACTGGTGAAAGACACTTCCATTGTTGCTGTTGTTATAATTCACAGGTGATAGTATCATGCAGGTAGCCGCTGAGAATTGTAACATCACAGAGTTTCCTCCCACACATTTTGTTTCACTCAAAGATAACCAGCTGTGGTATGGCTGCATCAGTATGGAATAAAGCTCAGAAGCACACAGGTGGTTAATGCCACAGCCATTGAAGGCCAAAACAGCATTGAGACCAATCAGGTATATATATGGGAAAAGATGCATCTGCAGGATTGTGTGAATGGTGCCACTTCTGGACTAGCCAAATATTGCGCAGCAGTGTTTCACCCCCAAGTAAATGTCCCAATGCTGGTACAAAAACCAAAATAACAGGGCCACCCCAAACCACACAACAGTAGCAACTCCCATGCCTCATACAGATGGCAGCCCTCCTCTCTTCAGTTGTGCTCCAAGTAATAATTAGATCCCCATCCAAGAGAAGGAAATCATTCCATTTTATAGTACCATCACACTTTTGCTGCCATCTCGGAACTGAAATCAGAAAAAGTTTCATTGAAACAACTGAAATCACATGCTGCACAGGCAGTGGCCACAAGAACACCTGGACCACACTTTCGCTACCATTGGCCAGTACATGACCTTGACATGGCCATGGTGGCTTCCATAACTGACCAAAGCACCACTGACTAGAATGTAGAAATAGAGAAGCATACTGACTGAGACTGAATAGCAGCTCATGACTGTGCTTGTATGATATCACAATTTTCAGATGATATAAACCTTGGCCAGTGTGGGAGCACAAGGTTGGCAATAGATTTATGAAGTCCAGAGCCTTACCACTCACTTCTTGCCACACTGATGATGTTTGTACTACTGTTAAGGAAATAGCAAGCACCAATGCTGATGAATTTTGCAAATGCAGAGCAGCTGCAGACTCACAGAAAGATGGCCATGGTGTTGGCTTGAGTGGACCATCAGAACCCATCAGGTCAAACAGCAGAGGTGGTGGCCATGGCTGCCGCAATAGCACATCTAGCTGACCATTGCTAAAGGGTTGCCATGACTGTGAGCACAACACGCAGGTGTCTGTGAGCAAAGAGTTTATGTTTTTCAGAGGAGGTGTCCTGATCCTGAGGCTGTAGGCAATATAGGGTATGTTACTGATGATGTATACCAGAGATAACCATGGGGGCTTCCAATGCACTGGCTGATGGTAGCAGGTGAATAACAGACAGTAATAGCAATATGCAACTGAATCAACCCAATGGCCTCCATTTTGATAGAATCAACTTGCCCTGCGCTTGCAAGTAACTGAAGACAATCTGCACAGCATTCCCACCATGACTCGCAATGGAGAGGCCAGACTAGGAGCTTATGCACTGCGCAGCTAAACTGAACCCATATCACTATGCTTGAATGTGGACAGACAAGTGCCACTATGAGACTGCCCTGATGTCCGTGCCAATTAGGCCACGGCTTCAACTCAATCTGCAAGGTTAGTGAGTGGATTCCCAACACGAAATTTGAGATAACTGCTTGCAGTAGTGTACAAGGGAGGATGACAGTAAATATGAATTCGCCCTTGCTGCTCTTGCCACGGTCAAACACACAGGAACCAGTAGAACACACTAGTAGCGAAGGGCAGCAGGTCGTGAAGGAAGGTAGCCATAATACCTCTGAAGTTTGCCCAGGCACTTTCTCAATCACCTCAAGGACCTCAGGAACATTGGAGCAAATCCCGAACATAGAAATACCCTTCGAGCGAGTAGTGCAAACGATGGTGGTGTTGCTGCTCCCAGGCATAAGCATGTTGGTGTCGCGGCGGAAGCAATCCGTCGAACACCTGGTGGACAGGGCGACGGTAGGGTTGTCCTCTGCACCTGGCGAGTTTAGTTTGGGGATGGGTGTCGAAGCTATAGTCAGAGCACTTGGTGTCGGCCTGGAGGTCGGTGCAGCGGTGGGCTCGGTCGGTGAAGTGGTAGGAGCCATGTACGCCGGTGAGGCAGATGATGCCGCGGCGTGCTCGCTGCAGGCGGAGAACAGGACTGAGCAGTTGTCGATGACATCGGGCGGCGTGGTGGTGGTCGAAGAGAACTGTGGCGCACCTATCATGATGTGCGACGCCACAACATGCTTGTTGCAAGCGGTGGGAGTGACCACGCACTCATCGATGGCACTGGGTGTTGTGGCGGCGATGGGTGTAGGCGCTGCAGTCAATGCTGGGGTGGATGGTGGTGTCGCAACTGCCGGCACAGCAGTCGGAGTCGAGGGCGCCGGTGAAGTGGGCGAAGACGAGGGCGCGGACGACCGTATCGCAGATGCGAGGGTCTTGAGGGTGCTACACATCCCCGCGTTCACTTCCTCCATCATCCGCAGCATGCGATCCATCTTCGCCTCGAGCTCGGCGATGGTGGCGACGGACAGTGTAGATCCGGGTCAGGCCATACTTCCTCGATCGATGGCTCTGGTACCAAATGTCACGATCCTTGAGGTAACTACCGGCGTACATGCACGGCGGGGAGAGATCGGCGGCGCCGTCTCTGGAGAAGAACGGAGAAGAGAGAAATAGAAGATTTGGAGGAGATTAGTTCATTTCATTATCGATACCGTCTACAGAGCAGCCAAAGGGTATATATGGCTTCATACATGGGCCAAGCCCAACACAATGAAAGGCACGCAGGCCTAAACCATGACCCACTCCCTAATACTATTACAGGCCCATGTGCTAGGTCATGACAGTTCCTCATCCCAAGATGAACTTACAATTTAACTGGACTCCTAGAAATGGTGGGGAGTAAGGTGTAGGATCTAGATTCGAGTTTTGGAGTTTAGGAGCATAATCCATGTGAAAAGCATCACCCAAGCTGTGCAGGTGGAGAGAAGTGGCAGAAGGCAGGAGTCACAAGGAGTCGACGCTGGAAGTTAGCGGTGGACGATATGGGGCGCACAGTTGCGAATCTAGTAAATTATATAGACCAAATATGTCTACGATTTATGCATGAACCAAGTTGCAGGAACACTTGCACGCAGTAAATATGTACTACATAATCGATATTTCCACAACATTCGTCTGTATAAAATCTTAAAATACATTGATCCAGGCATACTAGACTGCTGCAGAATGTTAAAAAAAAGTCAGATTTTCAAGGGTTACTAATTTAAGAAAATTTATCAAATGAAACGAAATTCAGAGCTATGAATAGTCATCCTTGGCTGCCAGAGCCAAACCCTCCCTCCTATCATTGTTAGAATACAAATAATGCAGACCACAAGCACCTTAGAATTCCAAATAAACATTAGGTTCCAAGTATTCAAGCCATATTCAAAGATCCTATAGTATCCTAGATCGCCTGCACAAACTGCACCAAATTTGTAAAAAAACGAATCACACCAAATGCTGACTGTACCTGATTGTCCATACCAAGAGGGAAGCAATCCAACCTGATTGTATTCTACCGCAATTTGTGTTTTGAATGCATTTTTGTTACCACTCCCAGCATGCAGTACCTACACAGTGCACAAAGTTGCTCATATACTTACATACCAACACAAAACATATCAAGATCTGGGATATCAGAAAGAAAACTACTATTCAAATCAGCATCAGAGACTAGTAATGTTGAAAGCATGGAATGCCGAAATTGATCAATATATGTGACATGCTTGGACAACACTACCATACTAAAATTGATCACTTAGCAATAGGTACAGAGAAGATCATATCCTTCTCTGAAAATAAGAAATCAATTACACTGACAATACAATAAGGCCATACACTAGCTAATGTCCAAAGATAGTCAACACAGGAGACTAGTTGGAACTTGGGTGTTGGACTTGGACATTACCAGAATAGAATATCAGAGGACACCAAAGATATTTATTTTTCATAATTTAAAGTTACTAGCCAAGTAGCCATTCAATAAAGAACCAGACACGTTCACAAACCAATATATATTCAGTTTTGCTAGCTGCCTGAACTTTATTGAAAAAGCATTTATATTACACAGAGCATAGCAGGCAGGCTTCGCAACCTGGGACCTTCTTTTTCTTACCTTTTGCTTGTAACTTGATTTGCTTCCCATTAATCTCCAAGGTTGACACATCGACAACCTTTATGGAGCCTTTCAGTGGACCGTGCGTTGAATCATACTTGAACATATAAGCCTGAAACAGGACACATGTAATGAGGTTGATTACAGCTACAGTTTAGATAAGTCCCTTTTTTGTGACTGTGTATATAAGATTAAATTCAGTGGATCAGAAAGGAAATGCAATATACAACAGGACAACTGACATTAAGAAAAGTTTTGTAATAAATATTTTGGTAATCATTCCTAACAGAGAAATACAAACTCAGCATTGTAGAAAGCAAGATACACTTCAAACATGTAATGAAAATAATTCCAAATTACATTGCTTTCAAGATTAATGATCGTTAACAGACACAACTTCAATGTCATCTCTACTATTTGTACAATTAAGAAGATATGCAGTCATCCTTTCAACATGTACACAAAGATCAAACCTGAGCAGCATTGTAAGCATTCATGGTCCTCACTGCAGCACCCTTCCTCTCTGCACCTTACTTGAACTCTGCAAGGTACCTGCCAAATCATCATGAGGAGAAATCAGATACCAAGATATATGTGCAGTAGGGGATAAAAAAAATCCATGGATCACAAATTCGTATCCTTCAAGCTTCTAGTATAAGAGACAGCACAACGCAGCATCATGTATCATATAGACAAATTGTGATGCCCCAAATCATAACTCCCAAGGTCCATATAACAAAGGCCCCAAACCAAATCGTGCTGCCCCACAAATATCTAGCAATAAATAAGGACTCATAGATCACTGGGAAATGTACACATTTTTTAATGATAGCATGTAATACATAAATGATACCTGCTGATTAGAGACCTTTGGGAGAACAATCTACAAGTATTGGCATTCATAAACTTAAGAGGTAACAAGGAAATGGAGTGAGCCAGTCGATTAATGAGTTCATAAAAATTACTCATTATAGTTGGATGGGGCCTTTGAATTGAATTCATCAACAGAAAAAAAAATCATGGCAATGCAAGCACCTAAACAAACAACTTTTTGAACCCTATATATGCAGATAGTTTCGGATCAGAGACAGCTAAAACTACTTATATTAGGCAAACTTTGCATAACTGCATTGCACAAACATGGGCCTGCTTGGATGCTGTCCAAAATCCGCCCGGCCAAATCCACGGCAGTCCCAAACCTTTGGCGCTCGTTTGGTTTGAAACCAAAGAATTGGTGCACCGAACCTTCCAGCCGAATCGGCGGCGGACACGAGACGTCGAGCGCCAATATTTTGGCTGCCTTCACAGCACTCCTATTGCCCTCGTTATTTTACAGTATCACCCTCCCACCGACACAGCAGCCACCACTTCCCTCTAATCCCCTCCTTCTCCGTCGTCACTTTTCACGGCCGCCGCCACTTATCTCCTCCGTCGCCTGTGCCAGTCCTGAACCTCCACCAGTCCATGGGATCCCCAGTCCATCACTCGTTCCTATCACAGATTAAAGGGACATATCCTTCCATCCCTACCTTCATAACAGATCCCTTAATCCGTTGGGGAACAAGGAGCATCTTCCCTCATCTGGTGGCCTCTCATCTCCGATTAATCCATCTATTCCTACTAGCAGTGTTTTCCTCCTTCAATCCTCCATCCATTTTCTAGGTATGAGTGTCTAATCTATCATCCGTTTACAGATCTGCTGCAACAAAGTGCAGAGGAAAACGTACCAGGAGGCAATCGCCCCAGCTAGATCCGTTGGTCCACTCCTGGAGGTAAAATCTTTCAAATCGAGTTCCTTTGGTCTCTCTCTGAGTCTCTGCATGGCTACAGGCTTACAGCAAGTTACTACGATTGTAGTTGTTGTTCCTCAGATAGTCAGATTCCCAACTGCATAAGCCCATTGCATATTCCTCTGTTAAGATTTCAGCATTATTTATATGATGGTTAAACAATTCGCCTTGCCCATTAAAAAAAATCTAGATATAACTGACAATTGTTTGATGCTCCACATCGTGTACGTTAGTTCAAATCACTTTAGTTTAGTTGCATATATTAGTTTGTTAAACCGGCCCGTTCACTAAAGTAATATAATTTATTGGCTACTATACATGCCAAGTACTACTTCCTTTGCCATTTATGCTTGTGCATATCAAAAGTTATTTTAATTAACTTGCTGCTGATACATGCTTTGCATTTTATTTTTCATTTTTTATTCCTGCACATTGCCTACACGCCTACACCTTGATTGGCAATGTTCAGCAAAAATTCCTCTGTTGCTGTATGTCGAGGCAAAAGGCCCTAGCTTTTTTTGTTCTACTGCTGGCCTTGTGGTGGAGGAACAAAAATCACAAGAGGAGTACAGCCAAACGCATAAAGTATGCTCCACTGGTGCAAAGGGATATATGGCGTAGTAGTGAGCTAATTAGGTTGATTGATACCTCGGACAGAATATGTATGCGTGAGCTCAGGATGTCTCGGCCTGTATTCTACAAGCTTTGTGCTCGGCTTAGGGAGAGGGGACTATTAGTTGACACACTTCATGTTTCAGTAGAGGAGCAGCTGGCAATGTTTTTGAAGATTGTTGGGCAGTACCACACACATTCCTCTGTAGCAATAGCAATGTGGAGATCGGGATGGACAGTGAGTACATACTTTAATACCGTCCTGCGTGCCATTGTCAAGTTAGCTCCTGAGCTAATTTATGTGAGATCTATATCCACGCACCCAAAGATCACTGAGAGTCCTAACAAGTTCTATCCATATTTTGAGGTAACTCTCAATAGTGTAAGCAATTTATCTTTTATATGCAATTTTAGATATAAGTGCTTTGACACATGTTTGTCTCTGTACATAGGGTTGTATAGGGGCACTAGATGGCACTCACATCAAGGCATGTGTGCCTGCTAAATCTGTGGACAGGTTTAGGGGCCGCAAGTCATACCCCACACAAAATGTCCTAGCAGTTGTCGACTTCGACCTACACTTTACTTATGTCCTAGCAGGGTGGGAGGGATCCGCTCATGATTCTCTCGTGCTGCAAGATGCCCTTTCTCGTCCAAATGGACTGAAAATTCCTGAAGGTACTCATGGATTTTGAAAATTTTGACATAGTCTCACCGTTATGACGTCACATTAGGCATTATGTTAACTTTGGTTGTAGGGAAGTTCTATTTGGCCGATGCTGGATATGCCACTAGGCCAGGCATATTACCGCCCTACCGTGGAGTTCGCTATCACCTAAAAGAGTTTCACGGAGCCCAAGACCCAAAATATCCAAAAGAGCTTTTCAATCAACGTCATTCCCAACTTAGGACAACAGTTGAACGAGCATTTGGTGCTCTCAAGAATCGCTTCAAGATTCTTAGCAACAAGCCATTCATACCCTTGAAGTCACAGGCCAAGGTGGTCATTGCCTGCTGTGCCCTTCATAATTGGATACTAGACGATGGACCTGATGAGTTCATATATGATGAGCCAACTTGGTACAATCACCTACCAAGGAGTAAGAATCGTGTCT